GTGTGTGTGTGTGTGTGTGTGTGTGTGTGTGTGTGTGTGTGTGTGTGTGTGTGTGTGTGTGTGTGTGCGTGTGGGTGTACATTCTTGCGCGTGTTTGCAAACACGATCGTCTTCGGACACGCTTAGAATTTTGTGAGGCCTGAGATTTGGCGTGCGCGGTCATCTCGTGTTGTCCGTGCACTCACCAGCTGCAACGCGGCTTCACCCACCACCACCACCCCCCCCCCCCCGGAATTTCCCGGTGTCCAGCCCCAAACGACGCGTTGGAGGCGCAGGAGAGCGAAGACGACGACGCAAAGAAGAAGAACAAGAAGAAGAACGCGGTGCACTTGGACGGGCAGTCCAAGAACAGGGCGTTATCCAGCATCATCTTCAAATACTCAGACAACATGGCCGGCAAAGTCTTGTGAGTGTGCGAGTGTGGGTGTGTGTGTAGGGGTGGGTGTGTACATGCAGATGAAGTTCGTCTCTGTATGGTTTGTAGTATGTGGCTGTGGTTTTGTTCCTGTGGTGAACGCGTCAGCTGAGTTCGACTGCTACACCTGCACGCAACAATCGACGAGAAGCTCATGACATGGGCAATACGTCCACCACCACCTCCACCACCTCTCCTTGCTGTCACGCAGCGCCCATGCGGATTTTGCGTTTGAGCTGTCAAACATGCTCATGAACTTTGGGCTCTGGCACATGAAGCACGCGTCCTGGCTCGAAGACTTTTCCGCACCAGAGGCGTAAGCTCTTGCATGTGTGTCTGTATGTGTGTGTGTGTGAAAGAGAGTGTGTGCGTGTGCGTGTGCGTATGTGGATGTGTGTGTGCGCGCGTGTGTGTGTGAACGGACTTACCATGTGTTGATGCGTGTACGCGTGCTGCGTTTCATGCCCTCACAACGTGATGGTTGGTTGATGACACCCTGTCTGACTGCAGTGAGCGGGAGGATGTTGCCAAGTCCATCTTCACCTCGCTCAAGGTATGCACTTTGCCCCCCCCCCCAATCGCACTCACCATACACGTGTACATAACCATCACCATTGTCAACTCCTCGCCCTGTTGTTGTCATCGTTGTTCCTTCCATTGTGGTTGTCGTCACTGCCCTCTACTTCTGTCCTTATCCCCCGTTTCAACATTCTTGCTCACACACGCGCACCCTCCCTTCATCTTCATCACAACCACCACCACCACCACCACCACCACCATCATCATCATCATCATCATCATCATCATCATCATCATCATCATCATCATCAACGCCTCCTTTGCTAGACGGCCGCCGGCGTGTTCAAGTACCTGCTGGACAAACACCACGAGGCATTGGAATACCGCCCAAACACAGGTGTGTGCGTGCGTGTGTGCGTGTGCGTGTCTGTGTCTGTGTCTGTGTGCCGTTCACGCAGGCTACATGTGGTGTACTACACTCTCCTACAATTCCACAGCTCTCCTCACCACCACCACCACCACCACCACCACCACCACCACTACCACCGCAATCGACAGACTTTGACGAGCGCATGCTGAAGGCAAGATACGAGCAGTGCTTGGCGGAGGCACAAGAAGGTGAGACACCGCGACTGGATGGATGGCGCAAGTGGTGGCGTGGGAGTGGTGGTGAGGGGAAAGTAGGTTTGGACAGCTAGCAAGCATCACATGTGTATCCACACGAACGCGCATACAAACAAACAAACAAACAAACAAACAAACAAACAAACAAACAAACAAACAAACAAACAAACAAACAAACACAAACACGCCGCATGTTCATCAAGGGGTGCTTGAGCGGGCGCGGACGATGGAGCACCGGCCGGCGCTGATTGCCGGCATTGCACACGACGAGTCGCGGCGATATGGGCTCGTTGCGGATGACATGCGATCCATGGAGGGAAACAGGGCCGCCCGACACCTTCACCTCTACTTCCAATTCAAGGCTTCCTTCTACAAGGCTTACGTGCGCGCACGCTTTGTCTTGTGGAGCCTTGTGTCTGTCTGTCTGTCTGTCTGTATGGGCTTTTTTATGCGCGCGCGCGTGTGTGTGTGTGTGCGTGTGTGTGTGTGTGTTCACGTAAACACGTGTTCGTACAGGTATGCTTCTGTGCATGCCCGTGCTCATGCACGTGCCCACTTGTGATTTCAACACCAACACCCAACCCTTCTCCACACCAGATGTGGTATTTCTACGGCAAGCACCTAATGGACGAGGAGCAGGTTGGCCAGAGCGTTCGCTGCTTTCAGGACGCAAAGCAAGGTGTGTGCAGGTCCTTGTGCCTGCGTCTGTGTGCCTGTGTGTCTGTGTCTGTCTGTGTCTGTGTCTGTATCTGTGTGCCAAACCTTCTTTCCCAACCTTCTTTCGACCCCACACCTCACCCTTCAACCCCTCACCCTGCCCAACACAATCCACCCATCCATCGTCACCAGAGCTTGAGGAGAGCATGCGCCTTGCAGAAGCGTACACGAAGGAGAAGAGTTTCATGTCTGCCAAGACCTTCCCCACCACCCCGCCCATCCAACACCCGCTCGTCAACACCCTCGGTACCTTCCTGACCCTTGGCTGCCCGTGTGTCCTGAGGAGTCATGTGTATGTGTCTGTGTCTGTGTGTGTCTGTGTCTGTGTGTGTGTGTGTGTGTGTGTGTGTGTGTGTGTGTGTCCGTGTTTGTTTGTGTCTCTGTACATGTGTGCTCCTGTCTCTCGCTGTCCCCAACCCGCACGGCTGTTATTGGTTCGTCTCACTCAAACGTACGACAACACCGCGCCCTCACCAAGTCACCTACACCACCATTGTCAACATGCAGTGAAGCTGATCAAGGCGGACGAGAGCAAGGCTGAGCGGGAAAACGGACTCATCTTCCACCAGCTCGTCCCCAAGGCGCCAATCGAACCCCCAGAGCCAAAGGAGTGCATTCAGGTCGTGTGTGTGTGTGTCTGTCTGTCTGTCTGTGCGGGCGTACGCGCGCGTGTGTATTATGACTCGCGTCATACTTTATGCTCGCGTGCATTCTTCGTTTCACTCACGCAAGTGTCTCGCCAACTGGTCGCCATGGATGTGCAGATGATTGAGCTGACACTGCCTGAGCCGAGCGACGTGTGGAAGACGCACACCTTCGAGTGGGACCGCATTCCGCGGCTGGGGCAGGTGCGCCGATGATGGCCATGTACTCATGGCGGTGTCGTAATAATGTGCTGATGTGGTGGTCGTGGTGGTCGTGGGTGTGGTGGCGTTCTCGTGTGACGAGGCCCATGACACGACGTGTACGTGAGCACATTCGCATCTGTGAAACATATGTTTTTTCTCTCTCCCCCCGCCCCTTCTTCCCACACACCAACACACAGGATGAGAAGGCGGACAAGGCTGCCGGAGACGATGCAAAGGTCAAGCACACGCCGTTTGACCCCGTCAAGCACAAGTACGCACGGCATTGTGGTGGATGGCATGAACTATGGCGTGGAATTGCACCACCTCCACTCACTGCCCTCATGCTCTCTAGTTTGCATAAGACTTGTGTTTGGCTTGCCCAACCCACACTTTATTTTATTCATGTGTGCTTTCCCGCATGTTCACAATGAACAAACATGCAAATCTCACCCGCCCACTCCCTCGCGCGCGCGCGCACACACACACACACACATCACGACCAAATGCGTCGCGCTGCGGCCATGTACTGTATTTGCAGGGGCTCGAGCGGTGCCCACAACAACGTTTGCACCATTTCCTGATCCACACACACACACACACACACACAGTTATTTTCACCTTCACCCCCTTCCCTCCCCTTCCCTCCCCCCCCCTTTCACACATGCACGAAAACACACATGGTAGCCGCCTGATCGCCACCACCATTACCAATACCACCATTTACGTCGCGCATGTCTCTCATTTGCTGCTGCTGTTTGTCTGCTTCTTATTCTTTGCCCTGCCGCTGTTGGTTCGGCGTGTGCTCTCCTCCTGTGTGTGCGTGTGGCGCGACCCCTGACGATAAACGGATCCAACACCACCAACACCACCCATGCTGCGCACGCTCCTGCCGCGGCCGTGCATGCCGCTGTCAGGCTGCTTGACGTTGGCCCCGTCCCAGTGCACCACAATGTGTTTCCCGCCATCACCATCACCATCACCATCAGGCGGCACTGCATCCACCAGCGCCGCCGTGTGCGGCGCGTCGTATGGCGCATACACGTCCGCACCGCCCACCTCCACCTCCAGCAACGGGTGCCACCAGAGCGTGACCTGGTGCGTGCGGTCCACGTAGAACTCGAGGCCTGCGTCTGTGCGGCGTCGCTCCCATCCATATGGCGCACCTTCCAGATCGGGGCTCTGGTACTCCGCCATGGCCTGCTGCAGCCGCACGTACACCGGGTTGCTGCTGTCTCTTGCCATGATGGCGAGCGCATCCTGCACCGCGTCCCGCAGGCCTGTGCATATGGCGCGAAGGAGGTCGACCTCAAGCTGCTTGCCCTTGAGCAGCACGGCTGAGGCCTCGACGTCTGGCGTGGCGACAATCGCACGCGGCACTAGGGTGGCGCGGGAGCTGTACTGCGTGCTGCGCTGCGATGCGTTGCGAGCAGCCCACTGGTAGATGGAGGTGATGGACCGGCCGCGCCGCTGCTGGAATGGATCCACGGCACTGCCGACACGACCGGCGCCACCGAGGCCACCAACGCCATGCTGGTGCTGCCACGCTGCGGTCAACGCGTCTTGGAGCTGCTCCTCAAGCATGAAGATGGCCTCTTGCTGCTGGGCCACCATGTGCCGCAGCCGGCGGGCTTCTTTCGCTTTCTCCCGCGCAATGCGTTGAGCGGAGGATGAGGCGCCCTTGCCCTTGTGGCCGCGACCGCCACGACCGCCAGCACCACCCATGATGCCATCAGTGGCAATGCCTGCGGACTCCAACAGCTGCAGGGCCTCGTCGCGCTGGTCAAGCACGCGCCGCAGCACCCTGTTGACGCGCTCCTGCTCTTCCCGTTTGTGGGCCGGCGTCATCCACACGTCAGCGCGATCAAGACCTTTGCTTGTGGCGGGGCCGTGTTCCTTGCCTGCAACAGGGGTGCCACCAAGGAAGATCGGGGCTCCCTGGTTCTGCTGCTGCTGCTGTTGGTACTGGTGCTGCTGATCAGCCATCCGCGCCTTGAGGTGTGCAACTTCCCGCCGCAGCCGAGCCGCCTCTGCCTCCGCCTCTTCTAGGGCTGCTTGGTCGACAGCGGCGCGGCCCGCCACTGGGCGCGGTGAGGGCGGCGCCGTTGTTGGTGCGGCGGTGCTGGCGACGCTGCTACGGCGCGAAAGGCCACCACCCTTGTTGTCATCGCCGCCAGACAGGTTGTCCACCAGCCCTTGCAGGTTGGCGTTCTCCTGCTGCAAGCGGCGCACGTGCGCCTTGAGCGCCACCACCAGATGCTCCGAGTGCTCTGCGCGCTTCTTCCACGAGGCAATGGCCTGCCGCTGCGACGACAGTGCTGTGCGGGCGGACGTCAACACGCGCCTCATCGCGCCCACCGTCTCCGCCATCTCCTTGACCGTGCCATGCTGCCGTGACGCCACCCGCCGCTCCAGCTCCAACAGCTGCGACTCGAGCTCTTCGCTCTCCGCGCCGAGCACGGCCTCGCTACTGCCGCTCATCGTGGTGGTGGTGTGCCGTGGAACCGGTGACGTGTTACGAACAAGGTGGTGCTGGTAGCGGTGTTGCTGTTGATGTAGTCGTTGGTGTTGCTGCTGCTGCTGCTGCTGCTGTTGTTGTTCATCATAAGGGGGGAATACAATGGGGGGTCGGGAGGCGAAAATCATATCGTGTCGTTTGCTGCTTCTTGCCTTTGGTGTTGTGATGTTGTCATGACATGAGTGCAGCTTGTGTGTGTGTGTGTGTGTGTGTGTGTGTGTGTGTGTGTGTGTGTGTGTATGTGTGTGCGTGTGTGTGTGTGTGCGTGTGTGTGTGTGTGTGTGTGTGTGTGTGTGTGTGTGTGTATGTCGCCCTCCTGTCATCTGTTCATGTGTGTGGTCCTGTTATCTGTTGATGATTGAGCGCCAGATCAAGGAAACAGAGAGTATGCGACACACACTCAAGGCGAACCGTTTAGACACATGCGCTCTGTTCTCGTGAGGCATGCGACATACAGCGAACCAGAGCAGAGACACAAGGACGGAGACACACTCTATGAAACAACCACGCACCACACACAGTCACACCATGGCAGACACGCACACGCACACACAGAGCCTGCCCACACAAGGTTGGTTGCACACAGTCAAACACAACACACAACACACAACATACCAGCACGATCCGACGCAACACAACAGACACACAGTAGAAACGCAACACAGCACAAGACAAGCACAGCACACGCGAGGCCTACGACTCGTCTGTGTCCGGGACAGCAAACGGGTTCTCTGTCTCTGTCATGCCTTCCTCTGGCGCAATCATGACGATGCTCACGTGTCTGCACACACACAGCCCGAGTGTCCGCGTCTTGTCTGTGATCTTGCTCAGGTCGCTGGGATCTATGGGCGAGTGAGTGTGCATGTACGTGTGCGTGCGTGTGTGTGCGTGCGTGCGTGTGTGTGTGCGTGCGTGCGTGTGTGTGTGCGTGTGTGTGCGCGTGCGCGCGCGTACGTGCGTGTGTGTGTGTGCGTGTGTGCGTGCGTGCGTGCGTGCGTGCGTGTGTAACAGTGAGAGAGGGCGAGAAGACAAAGACACACACACACACAAGAAAGCCAAACACAGACAACGAGAGACGGGGAGAAGCAGGCAGCATGAGCAAATATGCTTGATCACTGAACAAGTCACACCGCCACGCTTGTGCGAGTGCCAGCACGGTAACAATTATGTTAGCCGTCGCACGAAGGAAAGAGGAGGCGCGTGGCCATGATGCACAAAGCGCCATGAAGATGACGACAAGAACAACAACAACAACAACAACAACAACAACAACAACAACAACAAGTGCAGGACGGAACGTACCGCGAAGGAACTCGATGGTGTCGCTCAGCACGAGGTTTGACAACGGATCATATCCCTGCAACACACCGACAACTGCACCAGCGAAAAGGAGGGTGGTGACAGAGGTGAGCGTGCACACCACACGTGCGCGCGTGTGATTGTTGTCGAAACGCAGTGAGCTGCAACTGTATACTCAAGCTGCACAGGCGATCCAGTTGGGCGAAGAGATTGATGGGGCACAAGAACTCACGGGGGTTGGCCCACAGAGGTTGCACACGGGCTTACACATAGAGGCGCGCGCGCACTCACACACACACACACACACACACACACAGACAGACACACGCAGACAAAACACACACACAACCACACAGCCACACACACGCATACGTACGTACAAACATACATACACACAGACACACACAGACACACACACAGACAGACAGACACACACACACACACAGACACACACAGACACACACACAGACAGACAGACACACACACACACACAGAGCTCACCCACCTTCGCGGCCGCCACTGAACTTGACGCGAAGCTTCTTGTCCACGTACTTCTCCAAGTCGAGGATGTGTTTGCGCTCGCGCTTCTGCTGCTTCTGGTCCGACTGTCGTGATGGCAGTGTATCAGCGGTACAGTCAGTGTGTGGGGGGGAGAGGGGAACTCGAGTGAGCAATGCGACAAGAACAAGGTGCACACAAAACACAACACACAAAACAACACAACACAACGCACCACCCACTGACACGCACCATCTTCGTGCGTGCTTCTTCTTCTTCTTCTTCGTGTGTGCGTGTGTGTGTGATTTTCTTCTTCTTCTTCTTCTTCCACTGATGACGATGACGATGATGGCGCTTCGCTCCGCTCGCACGCGCACGGTCGCCGCCACGGCTGCCGCTCTCTCTCGCACCAGCCTCGCCCAACAGGTGTGTGTGTGTGCTTGTGTTGTAGTTGTGTGTGCTGTGAAGGTGTGGTTGTGTATGGTGTGAAGCAAGGTCTGGAGAGTGCAGGGTAATAGAGAGAAGCGAACGCGTTGGTCAAGACAGCACGAACAACGCGTGTGTGTGTCGATGTGTTCTTGCATTCACTCATGTACACGCGCTTGCGCATGCGTGCACACTCGTACACGTACACACACGCACACATACACATACACATATGCACATACACATACGCATACGCATACATGCACACATACACATGCGTGTACACATACACATACAATACGCCCACGTACACACGCGCACATGCGTGCACACGCGCATTCCATGAGTTCAGGCGACCCGACACTTGGCCACGAGCGCTGATGAGTCGGAAGATGTGCTGGTCGAGGAGCAGGGCCACCTGCGCACGCTCGTGCTGAACCGCCCAAAGGCGCACAACGCCCTTACCTACAACATGGTCAAGACCATCTGCGACAAGGCCGAGGTTCGCTGCAGCTCAATGATACCTGGTTGCACCGTGCGACCACAGCGCCGGCACTTGCTCACACACATTCGCTCACCTTTACTCACCCACCTTTTTGACTCATCTACCCAATTGACTCACTCTCACTCTCACTCACTCTCATGCTCTCCCTCACCCTCAATCGCCCGCTCGTGACACAGGAGTGGAACAACGACAACAAGGTCAAGGTTGTGGCCATGCGCGGCGCTGGTGCCAAGGCCTTCTGCGCCGGTGAGTGTCTGCGCCGTTTTTTCCATGCACCGTGCGGGCTACTGTGCTTCCTCCAGCGACTGCAGTCAGCCTTCCCATTCACACACACACACACACACACACACACACACACACACACACACACACACACACACACACACACACACTACAGCCGAAGAGTCTGGAGATCCTCATCACTCTGAACTACGGGATTACAAGTAATTTCCTGAAGCAATACTCGGACGTGATCTAACCATCGTGTCCAGTGGACATATGTAATACGAGACTGGCATTCCTTACAACCAGCATGAATCGGCTCCGGGCTGACGTAGAGTTTTTGGGCATAAAAGAAAAAAAAAACAGTGAGGCAGAGTGTTTTTTTTTTTTTTTGTTGGGATATTTATTTATGAAAGACCTACTGCAATCTCGCATGAATTGACCGATCTATACCCATTATGGAACTATCATTATTGACCGTAGGATACGGATATCACACATTAGACATATCTACCCCACTATCAATACCCACACACACACACACACACACACACACACACACACACACACACACACGCACGCACACACGCACGCACACACTCGACGCACACCCTCGTGTGCCTGCATGCATTCAGGGGCGAGCTTGAGGACGACGGGCAGCTTGCACGCGACTTCTTCCATCAGGAGTACCAGGCCGACTATGCTCTCGCCACCCTCGCAAAGCCATACGTCGCATTCATGGACGGCTTCACCATGGGAGGTGCGCACGAAGCACACTGCAATGGCGGGCTGTAAGGCGACTACTGTATGGCTGCTGTTCGAACACATGCGGAGTTTACCTATCCTCACATTTGTCGTGAGCCCCATCACCTCAAACCTACTCACCTTATCACCCCGTCATCACCACCACCACCATCATCATCATCATCATCATCATCACCACCACCATCACCATCACCACCATCACTGCCGTGACGGTGCACAGGCGGCGTTGGCGTGTCTGTTCACGGCCGCTTCCGTGTTGCAACAGAGAAGACAGTCTTTGCCATGCCTGAAACAGCAATCGGTACGCACGCTTGTACTTGCATGTGGAGAGGATGTTTGCTGTTGCTGCTCTTTTTTCACGTGCGACTTAACAGCGCTTGCTGTCGTGTACAGATGTCTTTGTATGTCGCACATTGACCATGTGTTGTCCACCTCTCAAACTGACTCATCATCATCATCATCATCATCATCATCATCATCATCATCATCATCATCATCATCATCATCATCATCATCATCATCATCATCATCATCATCATCAGGCCTGTTCCCGGATGTTGGCGGCTCGTACTTCCTCCCACGCCTCTCCGGTGGTCTTGGCCTCTACCTCGCCCTCACAGGTCAACCTCGCACACGCACATGTTGTGTACCTTTGCTACCACTGTTGTATTCACACAAACACACACACAAACAAACACAACGTGTCACGCAGGCCGCCACACTGCCAAGCGTTGCCCCTGTCTCACAGCAAACTGCCCCACACCACTGCTAAATATCTGTTGTGGCAGGCGCACGTCTGAAGGGACAGGATGTGCTGGCTGCCGGTATTGCCACGCACTTTGTCACCTCCGCCTCCATCCCAGAGGTCGAGAAGGCCCTCGCAGGTTGGTGCTGTGATGTGCTGTGATGTGATATGTGTGTGTGGGGGGGGGGAATTGGTGGGATTTCAAATCTACGGAACTCCCACACGCTCGCACACACACACACACACACACACACACACACACACACACACACACACACACACGCACGCACACACACACACACACGCACACACACATTCATACATACACACGCTCACACATACACACGACCTCTGACTTGGTTTTTTTCCCTGCATGTGGCAGAGAACGCTGATGTTGAGACGGTGCTGACGGCTTTTGATGCGCGGGATGCGTCATTCAAACCCTCGTACGCCGACGTCAAGGTAGCATGTGGCGGACACCTGCTGCTGCTGCTGTTTAAGTTGTTGTTTAAGTTGTTGTTGTTGTTGTTTAAGTTGTTGTTGTTGTTGTTTAAGTTGTTGTTGTTGTTGTTTAAGTTGTTGTTGTTGTTGACGACAACATTCGCTCGCATGAGCCGTTGGTGAATGCTCTTCCTTCTTCTCACGCAACCTTGTCGTGCGTCACCACGACCAGGGCAAGATTGATTCCATCTTCATGCAGCCCACACTTCAGGAGGTCTTTGATGCACTCGGTTCGGAAGCAATAATGCACGCGCGCGCACGCACAACTGTGTTTTGCTTGTCACAAATATGTTGCGGGCACGCCCTGAGCCCATCTTGTTTCTTCCACTCGCTCATTCGTTTTGCTCGTGCTGCTGTCTCGCTCCATTCACTCCTCCATGTCCACCCATCCATATCCATCCATATCCATCCATATTCATCCCACTATCACCAGAGGCGGACTCGTCCGAGTGGGCGAAGAAGCAGCGCGAAACGCTCGCAGAAATGGTCAGCAAAAGCACACGCACACACGTGCACACATGCACACGCATGCACACTCACACACACTCACACACGCACACAACACAGTCAGAAACACAACTCACACTCGCACGCTCACGCACGCTCACACACATACACGTGAACACATCCATCCACAGAGCCCGCTGTCGATGATGGTAACATTCGAGCAGCTGCAGCGCGGAAAGACCATGGACCTTCGCCGCTGCCTCGAAATGGAATACAACATCTCCCAGCACTGCGTCGTACGTTGCTGTGTCGTGTATGTATGTGTGTTCGTGTATGCGTGTGAATGTGTGTGAATGTGTGTGTGTGTGTGTGTGTCTCTCTCTCTGTACCACTCTATGTTTCTCTCCTGATAACACACCTGCATGTGTGCTGAGCATGCCCCGCTTGCCATACATATGTACTCATGCCTTCCTGCTCCCCCTGTCTATTGCTTGCGCTCCACAGCACGGCAATGACTTCTACCAGGGCGTCCGTGGAAGTGAGTTGGCAAAGCTGTCATGGTATTTCGTCTTGGCCTGTATATCTGCACCACTGTTTCACACACGCGTTTCCACCATCACCGCCATCACCGCCATCACCGCCATCACCGCCATCACCATCACGTGCTCACGACCACTAATTGCACACTGCAGAGCTGATGAAGGGGCCGCCGCCGGAGTGGAAGCACAAGTCCATCGCGGATGTGACGCGGGATGAGGTGGAGGAGTTCTTCCAGCCAACCAGCCGCACCCTCACCCTCTGATGTTGATGTTGTGCAGCCAACCAACCACTCTCACAACCAGCACACGGTTCTCGTAGCCAACACATGCGCACATACAACAAACATGCTCTCTTACACGCCAGCCAGCCAGCCAGCCAGCCAGCCAGGACGCTTTGTTTGCTTGCCGCTGTTGCTTTCTGTCATGATGTGTACTATCAAGGAGTGTGTGTTGAATCCTCATTGCACTCTCTTGTCCCTTCATCATGATGAAACACGCGTGCAGCAACTGCAACGAAGCTCAAGCTGTTATTTTAATCTGAGGCGTGTGTGTGTGTGTGTGTGTGTGTGTGTGTGTGTGTGTGTGTGTGTGTGTGTGTGTGTGTGTGTGTGCAACACAAATGCTACTTCAAAGTGAGGGAAGAAAAGGTGGGAACGTGTCCTGGTGGCACATTCGCGCTCACGCATGCAGCAACACGCGTGCATTGCAGTGCTATTGCTCGCTGTAGTGCTGGAGTGTCAGGCGCGGCACAATGTTCATGCTCTGAAGTTCCTGGAACAGCAGCTTGCACGCGTACGGCAGCTCAAGCTTGCATACGTTGGCTGTGTGGACACATTGGTGATGTAGATGCAGCGGTGGCGCAAGAAGACGTGAGTGGCCAGCAATGAGCCACGCCCCAGCCCTCAAGAAACAGGGAAGCGGCAACAAACAAATGTGCCCTCAAACATGCACACACACACACCTGATGATTTGCAGTACTGGCACCATCCAGCGTAGCCGAGAAGGCCGCACTTGGAGCAGGCGGTCACCTGCCACAGGCACGCAGCCATTCATGGTCATGTGAGCACAACGGTATAGCAGGGTGCTTGGGGACTTTGCCGGGCACTCAAAAGCAACTGGTACATCAGCAAAGTGACAAGTCAGCTTCAAACGTCAAACGCAAGCGCATACACCACCAAATCGCCATCACCACTTGCAATTCGCAAATGGCGGTGCGTGTGTGATGGCGGTGATGATCGTGACATTGGCCCGACCTCAAAGGCATCTGAGGAGACCATGAGGCGTTCCAGCAGCAGCATGCTCGTGCCGTGACCAATGAGGCAATCACGTTCCATCTCGCCAAGGCGCAGGCCACCCTGTCTCGATCGACCCTCCGTTGGCTGGCGCGTCAGCAGCGTGATGGGACCCGTCGCACGTGCGTGCATCTAAACACACACACACATGGCGGCAGGGCGCATGGCAGGTGAGGGATTCATGCTGGCAGAGGAAGTAAGTGGCAATGTGTCATCCCGCATGCAGCACAAGCGCGCGCGCACACACACACACAGAGCACACACAGAGCACACACACACACACACACACACACACACACACACACACTCACACACACACACACACAAACAAACACACACACACACACACAAACAGCACAGCAGCAGCTGGCCCGTGGCAAGTGTGCCCACCTTGTCCATGACCATGTGCTTGAGCTTCTGGTAGTAGACGGGCCCGAAGAAGATGTACGCCTCCAGCGGCTCGCCAGTGATGCCGGAGGTCAGAAACTCTTTGCCGTGGTAGTTGTACCCGTGATCAACCAGCGTCTGAAGGAGGGAAGGGTTTGCATGTGGCGGACGGCAGCATATGGTTGAGGAGCAAGCACATGATGTGACGCGCATTGGCCCGCGCAAGCAATGCACAACAAAGCACGTTCGTGCAGTGGCAGAGAGATAGCAAGACAAGGAGAAAGATACGCAGAGAGATACGCAGAGAGAGAGGCAGGAACGACCACACACACACACACACACACATCCGCATGCAAACACACACACGCACACACATCCGCATGCAAACACACATGCACGCACCTCGCACATCTCCTCGAGCGGGGTGCCGCCAAAAGCGGTTCCGTAGTTGAAGTTACCGGACAAGACAGCCGCCTGATGGTCGGGCAGCGAAGAGATGTGTCACGTCGCGTGTGGTGATGTTGTTGGTCGATCATGAGGGAATAAAACATGTGGCAGTGCTTGTGAGGTGACACAGCACACGGCCACGACGCCAAACACGGTGGCCGACAGCCATCACAGCTTCGAGAACAACATGCCAACACAAGCACACGAATGCACGCATACACACACGTGCATACACAAGTACACACGCGTCCATACACGCACACAGAAACACACAATCATCACCACAACGCACAAACATGTTGCCGCACCTTTCCGCCAACAAGCTCCATCAGTTTCCCGACGGTCATACGCGACGGAAACCCGTGTGGATTCATGATCATGTCGGGACACACCCCCTGATCGTTGAATGGCATGTCCTCCTGGTTCACAATGAGACCGCACACGCCCTTCTGCCCGTGACGGCTGCTGAACTTGTCGCCAAGCTCAGGGATACGCGTACTGCGCACACGAATCTGTCCCATTAAAATTGAAGAGGTGTGAGTGTGTGTGTGTGTGTGTGTGTGTGTGTGTGAGCATGCGTATGCGTGTGCTCGAAGATACAAAATCAACGTGTTGGTAATGGTTCGCAGGGTTGGAGACACATGCGACAATCAATGAGCACACCAGACGCCGCTGTCAATGACACGACAGTTCACTCGTGTGTGTGTGTGTGTGTGTGTGTGTGTGTGTGTGTGTGTGTGTGTGTGTGTGTGTGTGTGTGTGTACGTGCGTATGCGTCCAACCTTGATGATCATGTAGTTTTCCGATGATGATGTCACAGCAACCTGAAGCGCAATATCAGCATACACGCACACGAACACACATGTGTGAGTACACACACACACGCACGCGTCCGAGCACAAACGTTCTCGCCACATGCGTGCATGTGCATGTGCGTGTGCACACAACATTGCCCTGCTCCTGCCAGCACCTGGTCGCAGTATGCATCACAGCCCTCGGCACCCTTGAACTTGACTGGTGCCGGCGTGTACACCGTGCGGCGCTTGTTGCCTTCCATCACCGTCCCAGCAGGCACCTCCTTGTTCACCAGCACATCCTGATGAGACAAGGCGGAGACAGGGTGGAGGTGCACATGGTGAATGGCAGCAGCAACAGTGAATCGGTGACGCATGGTCGCAAAACGCACGCACACGCCAGGCACACGCGTGGCATATGTGCAGAAGCGAACACCAGAGGTGGTGGTGGTATGGGAGGGGGGCTTACTCTGTCCTTGAGGGATTCGCCGGGAGCGACGATACCATCGCGGTCCAGACGCGCAAACCCGGGCTTCACCTGCAGACAGCGGTGGGGTTTGGTTGGTGGTGGTGGGTGTTGGTGATGGTGGT